GGGAGCAGCTGAACATGCCTTTCTCACCATTCACCTCATGCTTGTACATTATTCAAATGGGGAAAAAATAGCTTCATCGTCAGAGAGTCTGAAACTGCTGATTTCTTTGCTCTTCTAGGGAAAGTGAATGTTATAGACTAGGAAGAACTACTACAAGGCATCAAGTCAGTTGTACTGCCAAGCAGGGCCTGACATAAAGCACTCAACTGAGTCTGTCCTCAACACAGAGTAGAGCAGATACAGCCTCGATTTGACAGTTACCTCTAAAGGACCAAGAAAAAGAGGGAAGAGTGGTGTAACAATAGCTTTGAAATATTATCTGGTCTGGGGAAAAGATGTCTAGTGTGTGTTTTATCTCTGATTCGGTCTAATAACTTTTCTATGTCTCAGTTTCCCAGTCTGTTCCACAATTAAGTCAGTTTTTTGAAACCTGCTTAATTTCTAGGCTCAGAGAAGTAGAAGTTAATCATTTGACTGATATATTCATATGAAAAAAATATATATTATTACCTTTTATTTGATATTATTGGCTAGATCACCACTGTGAAATCAAATAACATCTTACCCTGTCATCATGTTTGAGTTTGAAATGCCATATATAGCAGAAACCAGGAAAGATATTCTCAACTGAGGTCACTTTCTGGTCCATCACCCAAGAAATACTCTAAATTTTTCAGTGTTTTATTCTACCTGGAAAGGTCTCAAGAGATACCCACCCTACAAGGAGCTGCCAGATTAACTGATTTACCAGCTCCCACCTATATTTGCTGCCAATACTTCAAGTGGATTGATTCTACCTTAGCTGCTACATCGCTGATTGTATGGCTGGAGCTCCTAGAAGTGACTCCTGGACCCTAGGCCCTTTTTCTCATCTAGTGCTTGGGACATCCTTGGTGATCCAGACCCCAGTGGCAAATGTGCAATGGGAAGCTCCCATCTCTGCAGGGCTGACTTGGTTTCTTCACAAGTTAGGGGAGCTAACCCACTTGACATTTGCAGGAATGAGGATTTTAGAAGGAGATCAAGCATAGGAAGAGGGCAAGGATGAGTGGCAAGGTGCAAAGCACTTACTAGCCTGCTTGGCTTTCTCTGCATATGTGGTGGTTAGATCTTCATCAACTGGGTGCTCCACTGGCCCCACCATGGGGATGAGATGGCGCTCTGCTCGGATAGCCTTGGTGGCATGGGGTAGGAGCATCGCCTCTGGAGAAGGCTCACGACCCTCTGTTGAGGATGGCCGCAACTGTCCCTCGCTCTCTGAGAAAGGGGTGTCTGCACGGCTGCCGGGTGGACAGGCAATCTCCCTCTTGGCCACCCCACTGTAGCTGGCCTCCTTGGCTTCCTTCTGCATGGCAGCCTCCGGCAAGCTCTCATAGCCGCTCTGCTCAGACAGGGACACCTCGTCCTGGGGCAGATCTGCCTTGCTGTTGGTGCCGTCTGGCGGCGAGCGTGGGGACTTCTTGCGGGCCCGGCGGTGCTTCTCCTGGGCCACATTGTCTGCATCACTGTCAGTCTCACCATAGTAGGCCTCGCTATCCGGTGGGGAGGTGAGGCTGTCCAGGTGCCTCTGTGGCTTACGGGGCTGTGAGGGCTGTGTGGTGGCTGGGGCTCCTGCCGGAGCCGAGCTCAGGAGCTGTGCCGTGGGGCTGAGTGCGGATGGTGGGGAGAGCACTCGCTGCCCTGGGGAAGGGGAGCGCTGAATCCGTGGGCCAGTTTGGTCCCCACCAACTGTCCTGCAGGGAGAAGGAAAAGCAGTGAGTGAGGTCTGGTTGGTGAGGGGAGCTGGAAGGAAACTGCATGTGAGGAGGGAGCCCGCTGGACAGGGAAGGACAGAGGCTGAGCTGCTGTTTCAGGTGTCTTTTCTGTGGGACAGATATCTACAGTGCACACAGTACAGACACTAAGGGCAGACTCATCTCTGACATCAGCTGTGTGCTTTCATCCCGAATTTCTGCTTTATGACCTCTTTGGAAACCAAGTCTTAAACGCTCAAAATCAGTTTGATTCTGAACCACACAGCTGGGCTGGGGAACTTCTTCCCCTTGCCAGAGTCATGAGGATTCATTAGAATTATAAAGGAGCCTTCTGAGCATGCTTACTGGGAAGCTAGGCAGACAACATTGCCTCTGTAAAGCTGTGGGTTCATGATATCAATTGTTTGTTATCCGGCCTCTGAACAGTGAAAAATTTATATTCATGTCAAACCTTGGTGGAAGCTAACTGTGGGCAATTCTCCTGACAGTTTATTTATTTTAATAATATTTATAGCATGAATTCCTACTGGGGAGAAAATGCAAAGCTCCTCAGGCAAAACAGAAATGTTCTTTCTTTTCTTTAAATACATAAACAGATAACTGAAAATCATTGCTGCTTATAAGCTATTTTCTGTTGTTCTGCACTATCCATTCAGGTCTCTTCGTCCTGTCTCTTTACAAACACTCCCCAGCAGAAATGCATATACAACCTTGCATACTGCAGTCTTCCAGCTACCTGTCCTCTCTGAAAGCAACTGATTGGTGTTGTCCCTGGGAATATAGATATGAAGTGTTAATAAAGATGTGTTGAGAAAGCAATATTTGATGAGTTCTCTGCTACACCAAAATACAGCCAACTTTATTCTCAATCCATCCAATATTGGCTCCCAGAGGGCTGATCCATGCATCCTGTGAGAAGCCTGTCACTTTGCTAATTCAAAATGTGCTCATTTTGGCCCAAAGAATTTGCCTAGGCACCTGTTGGCTGCAGATGGGCTCCAGAGGGGTGAGATAAGGCCTTGGCTAGGGACCAGGCGCTATTCTGGCCACCCTGTTCAGGGCTCACTCATCCCAATTCATCACAGTTGGTTGACAGAATGAGCACATCAGAAGGCACCAGCACTTTCCCTGTAGCCAAGGGAAGTAGCCTACATGCTCCTGCTTTCCTTCCTTCTCTGAGCACTGCTCTCCTTGGCCCCCAGTGTACAGATGCCAGTAAGCAGGGTGGCTCTCCCTTCCCTTTGCTCACAGTTCTCTGTCTTCTGAGGGCTACAGAGAATTACATCTCCCAGATCCCTTCACCAGGGTCTTATTTTCTGAGGGCAGCTTCTGTTTCGGTGGTAGTGTGAACTAGTTAGGTCCTCACACAGCTTTGCTGCCTTCGTCTTTACCTGATTGATTTACAGCTTGGCCCTCATCTAACATACTCTGAAGCACTGGGTTTGCTTTCACACAGGTAGAAACAGCAAAGTTACTGGGATCATTTGTATGCCTAAAATTTGATCCTTGTTTCTAACATTCTGCTGGAGAGCTCAGCAGAGATACATCTTCCCAGAAAAAGGACTCCCCTACCCACTTCTTTGTAGAAGTCAGTTCATATCATATTGGAATACAGTGGCCTGCTGTAGTAAATATCCAGGTAACCTTTGTGCGACTTTCTGGTGGCTCGGTTATCCAATATATAGTCAAATCCATTTCTACTGAAGAGTTTTTTACCCAGAATGAACTGGAGACTGTTAATTTCTGAGGTAAACTGCCCTATGTCAACTGTTTGTTTGGAAACTATATTGTTCATTTTTAACAGCATATTTCTTACATTGCAAACATTTTCTTCCAGCTGGAGGGGGCGGAGCATAAAGGTATGGAGTCTGTTCAGCACCAGTACCAGGCTCTTGGAGAGCAGCATAGAGACAGTGCTGAACTTTTGGATGGCCGTGTTAGCCATGGGAATCTCCTCGTAATACACTTCACAGTATAGAGAAACTAAAGGCTCCCTGCTTGCCTTCCTCCTGCTGGATGTGGAGAGCTGCTGTGCTGGATGAAGCTGCTCTGCTGCCTGTACTGTCACAGTCCTGGTGTTTGGAAACAGCTTACCTTTTCACTCGGATATTGAGCATGCCATTGGATGAGTCGATGATCTGCATGGCAGAAGCATGGGAGAGGCCAGCACATGACTTCCCATTGATAGATACCAGCACATCATTTTCCCACAGGCCTCCACGGCATGCTTTGCTTCGCTTTCGGATCTGGAAAAAAAAAAAAAAAGAGAGAAAGAATGGGGATGAAAGGAAGAATAGTAGCCATTTAGTTTAGTTGCTCATCTCCTGCTGGCGCTTCTATTGCTCTCTCTCTGAAAGAATAAAATAAGGCCTAAAGACAAATGCGCTGCCAAGTTGAAGGAAGACCATGTTGCCTATGCCCTTCTGTTTCTGTATTCCCTGCTCCAGCATAGGCTGGACCTGAACACCAACCTAGTCTGAGTCCTTCACTGCAAATTTAAAACTCTGGAGTACCTTGCTCTTGATCTCTCATGCCCTGTTTCCTAAGTTGCCTGTGTTTCAGAGAAGGAACGGGAGCTTATTCCAGACTCTCCCTATACATGGCTGTGTGTCAGGATTCCCAGCTGTACCCACGACTGTGCTTCTGTGGTGTGACCCATGACATGCACACAGAGTCCCTGTGGATGCTGTCCTTGGGGATGCTGAGAATGGGAGGAGTTGGGGGCCCTCTGGCACTTCCTGCCATCAAGAATTCCTGCTCGAGTGGCTTTGGCCAAAATATTTCTGGATATCTGTATCAGGCCACATGGTGTCCTGTTACACAAGTGTAAACTTGGAGTAAATCTTTAGCCTTAACAGGAGTTGCGCAGGATATGCATTGCCATATCTGAAAATGGAGTTTGAGGCTCTAGTGTTAGACTAGCACCCAGTCTGGCCTCTTGTGGCCATTACACATCATGCATTTACTCTTTCTTCTGTTCCATGACATGTGTTGAACTTCTCACTGAAACCCCCAACACAGTCTAGGGTTCCTGCTGGGGCTAGCAAGCAAACCAAGTGTCCACTGAGCTCAAAAACACAGATCTCTCATGTAGATCAGCAGTGTGACAACCTTCTTATAGGACAGCTTGGCACTCATAATGCACTTAGTTTGCACATGCAAAAATAGCCAGACAAAAACACTGCATAAGAGTAAATCAGGATGAAATATGCTAGATTTATAAATGCTTCTATATATTTTCTTCAGATCTTGCAGTTACGTGAGAAACAAATCTGTGCAGAGTTGTTTGACAGAAGATTCAGTGAAAGAAGTGAGACAGATTCCTGCAGAGATGTAATGCACTGCCAGGCACCTTCTCCCACACCTTACGGCCTTGCAGCTCAAGCAACTGGACTCAGACAAAATGCTTTGGGAGTCTGCGTGGAATTCTACAAGCTTCTCTGCCCTCACTACCATGGAAGGAGATGTGAGAGGATTGCTACTCTACTGTCATTCCCTCAAGGGGCAGAAGAGAGCTGAAGCCCTGAGGACATCCCTCGGCATGGCTGGCTGGTCTGAACCGAAGGCTCTGCATAATCAGCATGTGACCAGGCTTAGCCCTGCCCACCCATGTCAAGAGGCAAGAGCAGTACTGCCTGTAGGTCAGCCTGTCAGCAGGACTGAGAAGTGTTAAGAAGATAGAAAGAGGGGCCCTATGCTCTGAGTTGTTTGTATGTTCACTGGCACTTTATCCCTCTGTAGCCTCTCCAGCTTGACCCCAAATTTTGTCTGCATGCTTAAAATAGGGATTTGCTCATCCCAGCTGCCACAGCCATCAACTTCTGTCATCTTAGCCTTTTATCTCTCTTCTTGTTAATATAAACTAGGAATGAGAACATGTGGGTCTGCAATGCTGAAGAACTACATTTCTGCTGTTACAGTACAAATATTGCTTCCTGATACTCCCAGTATCAGGATGCAGCTGTTAACTAAGAAGAGATAGCAGACGTGTTTTCCAGTGCTGCCTACTGCGACAGCAGCTAATGCAGAGGGTTAGTGTTAGGGCTGTAGGGAGGGTGACCAAAGGTATCTCATTGGTATTACTCAAAAGAACAGCTGCTGCTCCACAGCCAAGTGCTTTGTGTTCTGCATAAGAACACACTTACTGAGTATGTCTCTCAGTTATGGAACAACGAAGGGGTTAAATGTTGTCTGGAGGTTCTGAGAGCATTCTTTACATCCCATAGTACTCCTCCATGCTCACTGAAGCCAGCTGGCTCTGGGCTGGTGACCACCCATACGAGAGGCTCATGAGCTTTCTGTGAGCCCTTGGGCCCTGCTGGAACCTGCAGAGAACCACTTGGCATTCCCAGGCAGGCAGCCTCCTGCTGCCCCCTCAAGCACCTTTAGCTCAGAGTAGGCTGCTGGGACATATGCTGTCCTGTGTAGGTTGAGCAGTGCCAGCAGGCAACCCATTCATTTTGTGGCAAGCAGAGGTGCCAGCCCAGTGATTCTGGCTTGCTCTGTGGTCAGAACTTACCAGGGCAACAGAGGGCTCATGTGCAAAAGTAACTGTGGTTACTTCAGGGCTGCTGTGGGAGCTGCAAGCTAGCCCTGAAACTCAGGAGATTTCTGCCTCTCTCCATTCCTCCTTGGGAAAACAGGACCAGTGGCAAGCCCAGGACCTGCAGAGTCTGAAATAGCATGTAAGCATTCCTGGCTGTCAGTCTTCCACAGGTTTGTAAATCTTCCCTTGGAATTTTACAGATCTGCTTCCCAAAGGCAGAGGGAAACCAACAATTTACAGCTTCATAATGACAACTCCTACCCCCACTGCATTTGCTGGAGAGGAGAAAGGCAGAAGAGGAATCTGCAGAGTGAGGAGGCCGACAGCATGCCGTACAGAAAGGATGGGACCTTGTCAGCAGGGTGCAGTCTGCCGGAGCCAGGGGACAGAGAGCAGCATCAGCCTGCCAGTTAGCGTGTGACTGCCAGCACAGTGCTATGCAGACCTTGAACAACAACACCCTGCAGCCTGCACATCTCACTCTCAGGGAGGGCAGCACCGAGTCCTCGAGGCACTAGGCCAGGCTGGGAGCTCATGCCACCAGCCAGGCTCACTGCCCACCCTGAAGGTCAAACTGCCCTCAGACTCACTACTTGCTCCCTATGTCCAGAAGGTGCCCTCTCCTGGGCGCCCGGCAGTCTCAGCGAGTGCTGCTGACAGGAGCTGCTTGTACAGGCTGCGGGAAGAAAGGATGTGCCACCCAGCAGCTCTTCTGAATGGTAGGGGAGAGGAGGGGAAAAGAATCCTACTAGAAGGATGGGACAAGTGGCATTTCAAAGAGAAATCCCCTCTGCTTTGTGAAGCAGATCCCTGAACACTTTCTTGTGCAAGCCAGAGGCAGCAGTAAGGGTCTCTGAGAAGTGGCCTGGAGTAGCTCTACGGAGCTGCACTTTCTGATCTCTGGCAAGGACTGACCTCTCCCTTTGGAGGGGAAGACCTCACAAATTGTCTTGTAACTACTTATCTGTTATACCTTTGACTCCTTGTCTCTGTAGAAACCTCCCTCCCCACAGTACACCTTGGTTCATGATGGAGAAATGTCCTCTTTAGATTATACTGAAGAAGGATACATTTAAATCTCAGGAAGAAATTCTTTATTATGAGGGTCACGAAGCTCTGGACTAGGTTGCCCAGAAAAGCTATGGATGCTCTATCCCTGGATGTGTTCGAGGACAGGTCGGATGGGCTTTGAACAACCTGGTCTAGCAGACATTATCCGTGCCCGTGGCAGTGGGGTTGGAACTACGTCAGTTTTAAGGTTCCTTTCCAACCCAAATAATTCCATTATTCTGTGATTACAGCTTCATTTATGGAATCTCAATATCAGAGCCTTACTGATTTATGCTACTGGAAATATAAATCAGTGTGGAATACTGGAAATACAACTTAATGAAACACATTTGCACATAGAAAATTGTCCCTCTCACTGCATTCACACCAGAGACTTTTGTTGTGATAAAACAGCTCTCACCAGAGCGGTTTAGTTGTCTACAGGGCCTATGTATGTGCATGTACATTTCCTCTTTTCCTTTATTACATTGCCCTGTTCTTCTAATTGATCATATTGAATCAGGTGGGAGAGAAAGGACAGAAGCAGCTGAGACAAAAATGAAAAGAGTGAATGCAACAAATGAAAAATACAGGGAAGAAGAAAAGGTGTTGAAGGGAAGACCAGTGCTAGGCCAAGAAGGCTAGGATGATGATCTGGCTAGAGAAGAATTCTCTTAGTGTAGCCCTGAAGAAACAAAAGGACGCCCTGGCTATTGGATGTGTCTCGGGTGAATTCAGCCTAGCTTTTGGGAACAGAATGCAAGGGAGAAGGGGTCAGATGCAATTTGGCAGCATCTGTTCTTCAGTATGGACTATATTTAGGTGGTGGCATGTGGGGAGTGAACACACGCTGTGATACTAAGAATAGAGTAATCCCGATAGTAACTCAGTGGCTTCACATCTTGCCTGAGAATAGCCCAGGGAACCTGTCTGAAACTGCAGCCATCCTCTCTGCTGGCCACCACACTTTCTTCATAAAAAAAGGTATTATGGTAGTCAGAAGGTCTGTAGTGCCTTTCAGGAATGAACTGTAATAGGCACTTCCCCCTTGTGTTGCCAAAGCATTTCCCACCTCCTCCCTCAGGCATAATCTGTACAGCAGAAAGACAAATTATATTACTGGTCTTCCATCTAATCTCTAAAATCTTTCCAGCAGCAACCAAGCAAACTCAAGCCAAGTAAGAGTTGTATGTTGACTACAACTGGACTTTCCCTTTCCCTCTCTGCTTGTGTCTCACATCACAGGGCTGCCATCCATGCAATGCTCTATGGCTGTGTGGCAGCTTTTAAATTTCATTCCCATTTAAGTGAAATGTAGTCCTGTTACAGGGTTCCAGTGGAGATGTAAGAACTGTCCTGTTGTATAAAGCACTATAAAGCATTACTGAAAGAAATGAACTTAGGCAGAATCTGAAGAGTTGTCTAACATCTGGGTCTGCTCCTCCCAGAACCACACGCTCAGCTGAACTACAAACACAGCAGCTGCAAAAGAAGAAGCAAACACCTCCAGCTCTTCTTTGGGCACATCTGCATTGACACCAGTTCAGTTACTGGAACAATTTGGTTTGATTAGGCTAGGGCCTAATCTTTCACTTGTGCAAGGACAGATACCCCGGTGGTTAAAGCACTAGACTGGCATTCAGGAGACCTGGGTGAGTTTTTTGTGTGGTCTTAGATAAAACTCTCAGACTGTGAGCTGTAAATGACTGCAATCTGGTAATCAGGAATTACTTCAGTAGTCATTTGCTCTGACTCTTTTCTTTGTCTCAGCTGCTCACCTGAACATAAAGATCCATTAAGATAGTTTCTCTATGCCTTGCCTATTAAGGATCTTCATGGCAATTCAGTATTTTTATTAGAGTAGAATATTTACTATAAGCTATTATAATTACACTAATTATTATAATTATACTTCTTAATTTAATCCCAATAACTTCCTGCCTAACGATTTGCTTCAGTTTAAAAGGCACCACTGCATGTACTTTCTCTTGGTAAAGCAGTTCCTGCAGACCTATGTCAAAGGTCATCTACAGTGAAGGTTAAGTAGAAGGTGTTTATCTAGTGAAAGAAGGGACAAAACATACATCTGGAATAGCAAATGAACACAGAAAGGGAGGGTGGTGAAATAAGGTATCTTGACCAGCAAGCAAACAGATTAGGTGGTTTCTGGACAAGGGGTTTGGAGATGAAACCTGGTGGTGGCAGAGGATACTGGTGCTAGACAATCCATTAAATGCAAACAAGACTTCTTTAGTCTGTTACCAGCTCGAGTGTACTGGTAAGGGGACTATTGCTATTCCAGTACTGGAGAAAGAAGACAGTGCACTGGACCAAATTCTGATTCTCCCAGTGAGCAATCCTGCACAGTCTGCTATTTGTGCTAATGAGAGGGAGTGCCTGCGTAAAGCTACTTCCCTTGCCGGTAACTCCAAGCCTTAGTGATGCACAGAGATTTGTGAATCAGATCATTGGCTGATGTGATCAAAAATGGTAATTTACAACTATGACAATACAATTTTCTCTTCAGGCCACCTTCTTACGGTTGCCCCAGAGGCCCTATCCCCTCATCTCTGCTAGGAAGGGGAGAGCTTCCCTTCCAAGCACTGCTCTCTGCTCACTGCTGTCCCAGTGCTGTGCACAGCTTGCAGCTCCTTGGCCAGACAGCAGTGGTGGAGGCACGTCCCCTTCCAGTGCACAGTGACTGTG